GCCTGCCCCATAGGCTTGTGCGAGCGGATGGCCGCCTGCTTGCGGGCAAGCACCGGGCACTTGCACCGCTTGACTTCCTGAAACTTGATCTTGAGCACGTCCTTCCAGGCCCAGTGCGAGTCGGGCGCCTCCCCGTCAATGGTCGGCAGCTGCCACGGATCCCCGAGTAGCAGCAGGCAGACGGCGCGCCCGGCCGCGTTGAACATCTCCCAGATGCGGTCAAAGTGCTCGCAGGTCAACTGGAAAACCTCATCGACCACCACGAAGTCGTATTCGGTCAGGGCAGCGACGGCTTCAGCTCGAGGACGGTGCAACCAGAAAGCGCCGTGGCACGTGTCCACCTGGATTTCGGGATGGCGGACGCGCATCCGCGCTGCAAGCTGTCCGGTGGGAAGGGCGTACAGCACTCTCGCCCCCTTGGCCACTGCTTCTTCAATGCACCGATCGGCCACAACCGTCTTGCCGGTGCCGGGCGGGCCGAGGCCGGCGAGGATCCTGCCGTTGCTCTCGAAGTCGGACATGAGCGTTTCTGCCTCCTCCTCAGTCTCGGCGGCTCGCAGCTGCAAGACGAGATCGACGTTAGTCATCACATGCTGACGGAGCATAGTCTGCAGTAGAGTGAAGAGCCCAGGGTCTATGCGCTCCGCGCGGGCCCCGGCAGCTGCAGGCCGGGCTTGCGGTGCCTGCGCCTCGTCTTCGAGGGTGATGGCCCCGCTGAGGTAGCGGTCCACTAGGCTGGCCTGGGCTCGCAGCATGGACAGCACATTCTCGATGTAGACGTCGCCTCGGGCTGCAAGCAGAAGGTCCTCGCGAATGCGCTGCTCGTCCTGCCAGTACTCGGGGCAAAGAGCTCGAGCGCAGGCGAAGAACTTGTACCGGTCCGGCACCTTCTCCAAGATCTCCCGAACCAGCAAATCCTCCACTTTGCGAAATGGCCTGTGGAGCATCAGCCACTGGCCAAAGAACTTGTCCGAAAAGGGCGAGACCAGCTCCGCCGCGATGATCTTCTCGCCGGCCATAGGGCAGTTGCGCGCGAAGACCTCGAGCGATTCTTGTGTGCCAGATCGCGCGTGCGCCTTCTTTACCCACTGCACGATGTCGCCTGCTTTATTGGACTTACGCAAGAACTCTAACAGGCTCATGTCGTCCCCGCGCCACGGCGAGGTCTCATACACGGCCACGCAGTCCGGCTTCCGCGGCATGTCGGGCCAAGGGGCCACCAGCGGTTGCACGGTGCCTCCCGTGCCAAAAGGCGGAAGCATCTGCGTGGCCAGGGTGAGCCACATCTCAGGTTCGCCAGGGTGGTAGCAGGACAGAATGCGGAGGGCCATGCCGTAGCCGGTGCTCCCCTCGTCTGCAAGCCACTCCGTCGCAAAGCTGTCGCTGAATTTGGGCGCGTAGGTGGCGACGTAGCGCATGAGAAGCCCGCGCCCATCCGCACCAGTGCGCGGGAAAAGGTTGTCAACGTGGCACTTGAGGACCTCCACCTCTGCCTCCTGGTAGGCCCGAATGCCCAAGGCCTCGTCTCGCTCCTTGTGGCGCAATCGCACCGTGCCTGCGGCCTTGTCAAAGACGGACGGCTCCTCGCGCACCTCCAAGCCGCTTCCGGTTC